TTTGAAAATATTTATTTCACATAAAATTCGTATAATTCTGGATAGTTTTTTTTATAAAACACAGTGTATTTATAAAATACTGGCATTGAGAACTTAACTTTAAAAAAATAAAACAAATATTCTTGGATTTATTTCAAAAACAGAATTTGCAATTTATGTTATTTTTATTAACCCTCAACGGCTACACTGAATAATTAATTTTCCTTTAGTCGCTACAGAGTGGTCTGGTAGACACATCTATTAAATTACAAAATTTAATAAAAAATTAAATGTTTTTGTATATCTATACTTTTATGAGTTTATATTCATTACATGTGTGTGTGTGTGTGTGTGTGTGTGAGTCGGTTAAAAATATATACACATAATAGAAACAAGAATGAATCGGCAATCAAACATTATTGTTACGTTTTTCGTCGGTTCCGTGTGGATAGAAAGTCACAATATATTTAAACACAATTTATTTAACACTAATTAACAAAAACAATAACGATTAAAAGACTTAAAGAACTATTTATAACTTATTTACAATTTATCTAATTATTTATCTAACAGAAATTTATTTTGAATTAGCGCGGCGATTGTAACTGTACGCGTTGATCGGATATTTATCTCCATCTCCTTCAGGTTTCGGGCATCGGCTTATATATAAGAGAAACAGACAATCCAGACATATCTCGAAAATTCTTAGCGGCGTTCTCGAACGTCGGTGGGCGTATGAGTCATAGCCGAGTGGCCAAGCCTAAGGCCGAGTTCACACGGTACGGGTCTGCAACACTGCCCCCTTCTTAGGTACATGCTCGTCCCGAGATGTACACGGTGAATGAAGGTATTTGCAAAGCTGGCCCCTGGTGCATTGAGAAGTCTGGTAGAAAAAGCAGTCTACAGTTTTCTCGCCCGATCTCAGCTTTGCGTTATAGCAGCAAACGAGGATCTCGATTCCCGTAAATCCAAACAAGACTTCAATCATGTTCCGGATTGTACGCCAACTCAAACCATCCAGTCCACACGCCAGCTTCGGAATGGCTAATCGTGCAATGTTGTTGCTTAGCAGGGCTTCTCTCAGTTCAATCAGGGTCTTCCATAGATTGAGATAAGTCGGGTACTCGGGGACCATTCCTTGGTGACCAGGTAGAAGATGTGTCTTGCTTGACCATGTGCATTGTCGGTTAGCCTCAAGACGCTTCCAACCTCTGGATCCTGTCGGCGTAGTTCTCCGACACGCCCAAACTCCTTATTGAACGTCCCAGCGATTCCTCTGGACATCCGCAAATCTCGGGCCACACAGTGAGCGAGCGAATAATCAGGAGGCACGGAAAAGAGGTCTCGTGGTTCTTCTTTGGTTACACCATAGCGAGCCTTCTCACTGCTGTATCGGGCTATGAAATCATCAAAGGACATCTCCGAATCAGGGGGATCAAAGCTGTAGGTTCTCACGGTCTCAGCACGATCTTCTATTTCGCCTTGGTAACGGCTCAAACGGTTGAAATGAACTATCGTCGGTTTTCCTTTTGGCAATTTTCTGATACGGTATACGACGTCATTAATCCTATCCATGACTTCGTATGGGCCTTCCCACGAGGATTGTAGCTTCGGAGATAATCCACGACGTCTCTGCGGGTTATATAGCCACACCAAATTCCCTGGTTGGTATCCTCCATGTTCAGCTTGAATGTCGTAGTGCTCCTTCATTTGGTCACTAGCGCTTTGAATATTTAGGCGGACTCGCTGATGGATGTCGTCCATCCTTTGGCGTAGTCTATGGACATAATCTTCTCCGGCGACATCTTCTCCCGGTCGGCAACCAAACTTCAGGTCACAAGGTAGGCGCACTTCCCGTCCCATAACGATGCGGGCTGGAGTTTGCCCTGTGTATTCTTGGACGGATGAACGATAGGCCAACAGGAACAGGTGAAGAAATTTGTCCCAGTCTCTTTGGTGGTCAGAGACTACTTTGGCCAAATAACGGTTGATGGTTCTGTTTATGCGTTCAACCATCCCATCGGATTGTGGATGTAGAGCCGTCGTCCTGGTCTTGCGGATGTTAAGGACTTCACAGACGCCTTGGAACAGATTGGACTCGAAGTTTCTTCCCTGATCGGAATGAAGCTCCATGGGAACACCAAACCTGCAGATCCATTCTTTAACAAGGGCATCAGCAATGGTGAACGCTTCTTGATTTGGCAACGCGTAGGCCTCGACCCATTTTCTGAAGTAATCCATTACTACCACAATGTATTTGTTGCCATCGTTCGTCTCTGGGAAAGGACCAGCCACGTCGATCGCTATTCGTTCGAAGGGACTGCCTACATTGTACTGGCGCATTGGGGCCTTACCGCGCTTCAGTGGCCCATTGATGGCGGCGCAAACGTCACATTTCTTGCACCAGGCCCTCACATCTTCTTTGCAGTTCACCCAATAGAACCGTTCACGCAGCATGCCAAGTGTCTTGGTAACACCAAAATGTCCACCGCTGGTTCCATTGTGAACTTCCTCCAAGACTTCCGGGATCCTCTTCTTTGGAATTAGGATCTGTCTTCTTTCTTCTTGTCCCTCTGGTCTCTCGATCACACGTGAAGTAGTCCGTTATCTATTACCAATGAATTCCACTAGGACCTAACACAACCCAACACCAGTACGACTTCACGTTCGGCGAATATCTGCAAACTTCCTCCCACGTTGGTCTCTGGTCCGCGTTTTTCCAGTTAATCACCAAGCCCAACTCTGGATCACTGACTTGGTCATTTGCAAGATCTTCGGTTTGCCAACTATCACCAACCACAGTCGTCCTTAAGACTTTCACTTCTTTCTCTTCTTTCCACTTCTTCTTCTTTCCGTTCTTTCCCTTCTTCCGCAATTCCAACAGCGAATCGGTCCCCCCTGCTTGCTCATATACTGATCCAGTACTTTCCGCACAATCCTTTCCACTTTGGAATCGTCGGAACTCTCCTCAACAGCCCGTACAAATCCTAGAGGCCTAGAGCATTCTTTCGCGGCCTCAAATTCCAGGGCACGTGCTAGGGCATCTCCCAGATGTGCTGGATGAGCTAAAAGAAGTGTTTGCCTTGTCTCGTTGTCACGTAAACCATCAATAAAAGCCTGTACAGTTAAGCGCTCCATAACATTTTCGGGCATAGCGGGGTACGCAAGGCGAACGAGGCGGGCTACGTCGGCTTCAAAGTCCTGCAGAGACTCATTTGACTTTTGAATGCGATTTTTTAGCTGGGAATGATAGACATGTTCCAAATGAGCTTGGCCGTACCTCATTTCTAAATGTTGTACCAATTGCTGATAATCTCCCTGTTCCGATGGTGACAGTGTCTGCAGGATGTCAGTCGCATCTCCTCGCAGTGCGACAGTCAAAGCGGTAGCCTTTTCAGCGATTATCCATCCGTTCGCTCTCGCAGCGGCTTCAAATTGGCAAAAATAATTGGCCCAAGCTGTTTTTCAGTCAAACTGTGGAGGCTTAATAACTGACTTTGAGATATACTTATTTTCGACTAGTTTCGGTGCCTCCGATGTTTCTTGACATTTTGTTGAATTTGCCTTTGCTATTTCTTCTTTTAAAATTTCGATTTCTTTATTTACGTCGTCCTCAATTTGTGTTATTTTGTCTGGTAGCTCCGTAGAATTCTCTATAATCTTATCTTCTAAAATATTAATTTTATCACTGATTTTCTCTTCTAAATTAACTTCCAAGTCAATTATTTTACTATTCAAATTGTTCAGGTTGTCGTCCAATTTTTGAGAATTCTCTGTCATTTTATTTTCTAATTTTTGTAGACACGAGTCAAGGTCACCTTCCAACTCAAATCAAAATGTGTCAGGATCCTCACCTTCCTCAATCAAAACCTCTTTCAGTCTGGCTTGCAAAATGCTTTTCTTTCCATCTGTCTCGCACTCTCTCTCTTCCAATATGCATTTCAGTTCGAACACTTTCAAGTCTTTCAACAATTTTTTCGAAGCCATTATCAGTCTTTTTATTTTTCTAGTCTATCACACACGCCACACTTGACACCAATTGTTACGTTTTTCGTCGGTTCCGTGTGGATAGAAAGTCACAATATATTTAAACACAATTTATTTAACACTAATTAACAATTGTTTTACGATTAAAAGACTATTTATAACTTATTTACAATTTATCTAATTATTTATCTAACAGAAATTTATTTTGAATTAGCGCGGTGATTGTAACTGTACGCGTCGATCGGTTATTTATCTCCATCTCCTTGAGGTTTCGGGCATCGGCTTATATATGAGAGAAACAGACAATCCAGACATATCTCGAAAATTCTTAGCGGCGTTCTTCGAACGTCGGTGGGCGTATGAGTCGTAGCCGAGTTGCCAAGCCTATGGCCGAGTTCACACGGTACGGGTCCGCAACATTATTAAGAAAATTACGTGGTAAAAATAAAAATTAATATGTTTACGTATTTTTATACTTAAGCATAATATTTTTCATGAGCACTGTAGACTATTGGGTTTTTTACAAACAGTACAGAGGTAGTGTATGTTTTTTTTTCATTTTGTAAGAGCACATAGAGCAAAGACTTCTCTCAGCGGTTACTCTTCTCTCATTTCTAGTTACTCTTCTTCAGATGTTGTTTCACATACCATAGTGTGTTTCAATATTCGCCCTTAGTCTTAGTTTCCTTGGCATTTTTTGGTTGAGCAACTTTTTCTCGATCATTATATTTATATATAATAGCTTTGGCTAGATGTTTAAGAAAATCGATTTGTATAATAATATAGTAATAATATAATAATATGCCTTTATGGTGCTGCCGTCAACCATTTGGATAAAATTGTCATTTCATGTCATAATGTTATCCTATAGTAAACATACTTCAAAGATAAAAAGAAATATAAACATTTCAAAGGTATTGAGAATTATTGTTAAAATAATATAGAAACTTATAATATGAATAAAAATTATATCATATTATATAGAGAGTAATTTAGAATTAAAAGCAGAAAGGGAAAAAAGGAAATGTATAATAAATTCCCGCAGCAATATATTTACGTCTAAAATAAAATCTTACTTACATATAGGTAATATTTATTATATTGACATTAATTTAACAACATATCCTGTAAAGAGAGAGAGAGAGACTAACAGATTACTATAAAATAAATCACTAACTCTACTGTTTATTAATTCTTTTCAAACCCAACCAATAGCCCCCTTCTGCTCTAACTGAAATATCTTTTGTTAGTACTAAAGGAATTCTGGTTTTCTTGGTCGGAACAATCTCGAAATTTAGCAACGTCTTATAAACTAAAGCTTTGAGCTCTAAAAGCGCAAACCTTGATCCTATACAGTTTCTTGGGCCAGTCCCAAAAGGTAAGTAAACGTAAGGATTAATACGGTCTTTGTTTTCATCGTTGAATCGTTCCGGTTCAAATTTTTCAGGATCGGGATACTTTTCTGGATCCATATGTATGCCGTGAACAGGTATCCAGACAGCTGCACCTTTAGCGAGATGTATAGTAGGTTCCCCAGGATTTTTGGGTTTAATAACGTAAGGCTTAGTGCATACGCGATCTAGAGCAACTGCCACAGGCCATTTTCTCAAAACCTCTGGAAATAATATTAATCAATTATATGAAGGTAATGAAAATACCTTAAATTAAAGGACTATATATAATAATTAAAAATAGTAGATGTCCAGGGAATTTTTTTTAAATCAAAACAGTGTAATAAGAGTTTCTTGATGAAATTTCATAGTATAGATTTTGCCTGAAGTGTATGCATTTGAATCTTTGAATAAGAAGACTAAGGAAGGAGCATATCAAAAATCTTAGGTACACCGCGATGGGCCTCAAATATGGCCGACTTAAATTCCGGTTTATCAGTGTCGTTCTAATTTTATTTTAAAAATGTAAAACTATGATGTAGGGTAGACGTGGGGTAGACTCAATAATTTGTTGTTTTATTTTACGTTGTGAATAAATGTTGGTAGTTATTAAAATTGTTATAAAAATATATAATTCTAATAAAAATAGATATGTTATAATAAGTATTTATTAACACAAACATCCGATACGCTACTGAAGCAGGTAAGTCAAATTAACGTATCTAAATTCTTTGACATCTAATTTTTGACAAGTAATAAATAAAAGCTAAAATGCAAGAAAAATATATAATTTAGTTAATTTAAGTGAATTTCATAAATGATCGGTTTACGACATGTATGTATATTATATAGTCACTTACTAGCGAAAAGTTGTTCCATTATTTCACTCAATTTTTGCCGAGATCTACCGCACGCTACACAACCAACTATTTTAGAATCTTTTTCGATAAATCGCGATAGTGTCACTGTTAATTTAAGTTCTGCCACAATTTCCATCTAGATTTACTACCTTTATACAACTATCAGTAGTAGAATAAATAATAAATAACATAAAATAAGCTCCGTAAAGACTGATAAATCCACAAAATTTCAAATCAAATTCAAATGTGTCAAATGAATCGTTAAACAGAACTGTCAAGGATCCCCACCCTAGAGTGCTTTTATGGTGGTTTTTCCGCCCACCATGCATGAATACATGGATAGCATTATGCTCCTTCCTTAGTCTTCTTATTCAAAGATTTGAATCGGCCAGAAGTATGGTTAATTAAAACACTAATTCACCACATTACACCAAAACATTTAAATTTTGCACTTTCGCTAACCATGTTATTGTCGACATTAGCGTCACCAACAGATGATTAAAAATAATTCGTCTGCTGATTATTACAATATTTGGTGTAATGTGGTGAATTAGAGTTTTATTTTGCTGTTGTAACACCAAAGGTTCCAAACCTCAACTGTAATCTTGGTATTGTTAGCCTAAAAATAAAATTATAGTCACCGTGCTGTTGCCAAACCACAGGTTCTAATCTCTAAAAAAACATAGTTCGCCAATAATAATACAACAAAAAACAACAAAACTAAAATTATTATTTTTTATTATAGAATAACGTTTCAGGATGTATATTTTTCTCCACCGTCAGAACCCAAAAATAAAAGAAGTAATAATTATTATGGATATAACTATCTCGAGCATATAGACTCATTCTTATAGAGTGAGCTACCGGGTTTTGGTGATACCGAATGTTTCTCAAAAGTACCCCACCATAAAAAAATCGGTCACTTCCTGTTTCGCCGGAAATTACTACAACTTTTCATTTTTAAATATCACCCTCGATATTTTTTAACTTTACTCGATTCAACATGACACCTTGAATAGAATGACATGTCATATGTCATCTTTTGAGATTTTTACTCAAAAAAATCATATTTTAAATTTCAATCTATATAGAGTGGCTGTATTAGAAACATTTAATTTAAAAAAAAATCGGAAAAGTGGATTTGATCTTCTAATTTTTTTTTGTTTCTCATGTCTTGTCCTGGTCGGTAAAAAATGCCAAAATCGTATTTTTAATCATATTTCAATGATGGAACGAAGGTGGTTCATTAGCCTATTCGGAAGAAATATTTTTTTACGAATAATTTTGTACCACTTGGCTTTCGACTCAAAATTGACGTTATGAACCTCATATTACAATTTCAAATAAACCATATCAGAAAATGTCAAAAATTGACATATGATATGCCAAGCTATTCAGAGTGTCATTTTCTAACAAATAGAGTAAAAAATACCGAGGATGTCATTTAAAAATAAAAAATAATTTCAGTTCTGGTGACTGAAAACAACTGAATACATCAATCAATCCTCATATAAGTAGACAGAGGGTGAAAATGTTGATGTGAATAGAAGTTGAAAATGAAGTTGATGTGAAACTATTGTTATTTCTGAAACTGCAGGAGAAAATAAATCGCATTAACGGGATTGAAGTTGCTTAGTCAGATCGTAAATAAATGCTTGTCAAGAAATTATATAACAACTCGATTCGATTCCAATTAGATTTCTTTTGGGGATTTCGAGTGAATTTATCTCCATGATCTTATATGTTCGAAACTTTTATGAGCCTGTACAGCATTAATATGATATTTGTATACATTAAAATCTGTAGTGTTAAATATAGATATAGATTGATGGACTATATCAATCAATGTTTTTCTTTAATAGTAATAAATCAAAATTATATCATATCCCATTATTTACCTGATACTACCATATCTAAGTATTTCATCCTTAACAATGCATCATAGGTCATTTTTCCATCATTTTTTCTATCCACACTTCTTATCTCCTCTCTAAGTTTATTCTGGATATCTTTATTAATTGCCAGCTCATAACTGGCAAAACACATTACAGTAGAAGCACCATCGAATCCAGCAAAAAAGAATATCATTGCTTGAGCAGTGATATCTTCGTTGGTTAATGTTTTTAACTGTTTAAATTTACCTGCAAAACAATTTAATATTTGATAAAATAAATAAAGCTATATAGTTAATAAGAGACGAAAGGAACTGTTTTTAAAAATTAAAGAAATTAACTTTTCTTTACACAAATTATTAACGGTGACTAGAATTAAATATATTTAACATTTTTACTGTTCTAAATATCTGCATTCCCATAATAAATTATCCGAATTTTACCAAATATAATATATTATAATTAATTATTTAACTAATTGCGTAGTATTACAAATTAATTATTTGAATATACCTAGATAGGCGCTATTATAATAGCGCAGAGGAGTCAAATTTTTAACAAAAAGTGACATCTGGTTTTTCCCTGATGCATACTTCCTCCCCCGCATATATGCATATAATATATGATAATACTCTAACGAAATTTATGTTATTTGTATTAATTTATCTACATATACAGGATCGCTGATAGATATGGAAACGGTCGATTATTGGGTAAAATATATGAGGTTTAAATATACGAGTTAAATACAAATACGATTTTTAAATGTCTATTGGCGTGTAATAAATTTAAGCATACAGAGTCGGTCATAAAGTCGTTTCACATCAATGTTCATTTTTTAAATGGAACCCCCTGTATATTATTGCCAAATTTCAATTCTTCCTTCAATTCTAAGCAAAAATGGAGATACACACAATGTACCCCAAACCAACCGTTTCCGAGAAATTGACTTTTGAAAATATCACTTAGGTAAACAATAATTCGATTTACTTAATTTCGATTTGTTTGGTTTCATTTAACGATGTCATTCTGCGAAAACTGATACTTAATAATATTTTACATTAGTTTTCAAGTTATCATTTATGGATGTATAAAATGAGATTATATCAAGTCTGGAAGTTACAAGATTTTCGTTTAACATTTTAAAACCTAAACACCATATCTTGGAAACTTTTGGATTTAAGGTTAAAAAGTTTAAACGGTTGAATTTATGTACATTAGGTATATTCCAATTTTTGCTCAAAATTGAAGGAAGAATTTAAAAACCCGATAATATACAGGGGGTTCTATTTAAAAAAATGAATCTTTGAGGTGCCACGACTTAAATACGACACTGTATACTTAAATTTATTACAAGATGTTAAGCATTTAAAAACCCTATAACTTTTGTATTTAACTTTTTGCGGGACCTCGTATACTTTCCCGAATAATCGACCGTTTCCATACATATCAGCGACCCGGTATAGAATAAACTGAATATAAAAATATTACATATTTTGAATCTATTTGAAAAAAAAAACATTTTATAAAGCAAGCATACTCATATCAGGCGACTCTTGTACAGTCGCAAATCCAGCATCCTTTTCGTTATTTTCTTTAATATCATCTTGTTTTATTCCTCTTTTTACTTCTAACATCGTATTTAGCATATCAGGTCTGATGATATTATTCTCTTCTCTAGTCGTAATAGTTTCGTTTATAATAGATTTAAAGAAATTTGAAGCATTTTGGTCCAACAAAGCAATTTTAAATTTCTAAAACAGAATAAATTATGGCTGTTAAAAATTTATTTAATATTTCGTCAAAAAATCCTATGGGTATATCGCTACTTGTACTGCAAAATACTGTACTACTTCTATCTAGAAAATAGTTATTTTTTGTAAACACTGCTGCGTTAATTTAACAGAGACCAACTTCTCAGCAGTGATTTACTAATAAACAAATTTTCCTAACCGACAAGAAAATGCTTAAATTTTCGGGAAGTATATCTCTTCCCGGTCGTCGGAAGCAAAAAAAATACCAAGAAACAAAGAAAAAAACTAAATATAACTCCAAGGACATACCAGTTTTTTCAACAGGTACGTCTATAAAAACTGTTGATGTCCTGTTAAAATGATCATGACGCAGCCCCCTTTCACGTCCATAGTTGAATATAGGCCTCCTCTAAACGTCTCCAGTTCTCGCGGTTTTTAGCTTTTGCAATCCAGTTAGTTGTTATTCGTTTCAGGTCGTCGGTCCATCGGGTGGGAGGTCTGCCTTGGTTACACTTGTGGGCTCTTGGTCTCCACTCTATAAGTCTTTTGGTCCATCTCCCGTCTGCCATTCTAGCAATGTGTCCAGCCCATCTCCACTTTTGTTTTGTGATTCGCTGGATAATGTCATCCACTCCCGTACGTCGGCGTATCTCTTCATTTCTTACTCGATCTCTCAAAGTCAGGCTAATCATAGATCTCTCCATCCGCCTCTGTGTCACTTTCAATTTTTCTGCGGTTGCTTTTGACATAAATGACATTATATCAAGATAAACGTCAAAGTTAACAATTAATATCTTAAAACAATTACTTAATGAGGTAAAACCAAAAAGTCTCAAACTTTCTGTATGAATATTCTTTAATTTGTTTTTAATTTGTATTTATGTTATGTTTATAATTATAGTCGATTTTAGCATGGTTATCGTTTCTTTGATTTTAACGGACATTACATAAATAAATATAACATAAGTAAAAATTAAAAACAAATTAAAAAATAATCATACAGAAAGTTTCAGGTTTTTTGTTTTACCTCATTAAGTAATTGTTATCAGATAGTAATTGTTAATTTTGAAGTTTAACTTGGATATAATCTCATTCTAACAGACCGTCAACGGTTTTTATAGACGTATCTGTTGAAAAACAACAAAAGTGTTCTTGAATAGTTGCATTTATATATTTTAAATAGGCAGTTTTTCTTTGTTTCTTTTTGTTTTTTGCGTCCGACGACGACGTACAAGATACACTTACGGGAACGTTAAGCATTTTTTGTCCGTTAGGCAAATTTGTTTATTAGTAAATCACTGCTGACAAGTTGGTCTCCGTTAAGGGGCGTCCAGACCGGATGAGCGAACAGGAGCGAGCAAGAATTCGGGTATGTTCTATGGGAACGCTTAACTGGTTGTGGACGGTCTGCGAGCGAGCGAATGATTGCTCGCTCACGCTCGACGCTGTTCCACGCCGTGTCGGTACATCAAAGAAAATTCGCTCTATTGCACGTCCGGTTTGGACGGGATTTTGTTTACCAAGTTTGCGATCGAATATCAAAAATGGAATGGCCGAATGAAGTTTTTTTTTGGAACTAAGATTGTTTTTCGGTAATTGGTATTACTTTTCATTATTTTTATGTCAATTAAATCTAATAAGGTATTAAAATCTGTAAGTGACACCCGACAAAAGTTCTTAAATTTTCCAGAATCTTTTGTGTCAACATCGTCTAGTAAATTGTTACCACCATGAGAAACTCGATTTTTAAAAAGAGTTATGTTCCACCATCTCCTCTGCAGTCGTTTACTTTTTTGACGTTTCAACAATTTATAAAATACAATGAAAGACGCACAAGCAATAATTTTTTCCGACATTAGAGAGTTTTTAGGTCGTCTATTTGGTAAATGACGTAAAACGCTAAACGTTATGCTGATCATGCGCAGTTTGTGAAAAATAACCGACAAAATTTGTGGGCCAGGTACTGTCATTTTAGATTTTGAACCGTTTATTTAACACGTCATCTGTCAAACGTTAACGTTGTCAAATAACCTCACAAATTGAGTTTTTTTTTCTCTTTTGGGATTCGTGAAAATTGTTTATTATGATAAATTTCAATATATTGAAAATATTATTAGAGTTCGAAATGCTGACGGAGAAATAGATAATAATTTTGATAAGGGGTGCAATTCTTCACGATATTTTCGATCCGGATCTTGGCGTTGCCAATTTTTGTCACTCAAATATGTTGGTTATATTTTGAAGGACAAAAGAAGACTACAAAAAAAAATATATTTTTAGGAACTATTTTACGTATTATAAACAAATAAATTTTTTTACGTATTATAAACAAATAAATAACAGTTTTCTTTTTTTTTCTTCTTTGGTTAACCCAAATAAGTATTACACTTGGCAACCGTGCTAAAATGTATCCCGTAATAGCGTACCGTTTATTTGAACCTAAATAGCGGCGAACGCTATCCACTAATAGGGTAATACCTTATTTTTGTATCAATGCGCATGCTCTATATAACGGATAACGTATAAAGCTGATCGAATAAGGGGCTTAAAAAGTCTCTATTATGAACATGAAGTGCCATACACCTATCAACGCTGACCATACAAATAATCGCTAGGTCTGGACGGATGCTGATCATGTGCTCGAGAGCAGCAGAAATCACGAGCGAATTTGAATAAATGTTTGCTCGTGCTCGTTACTGCTCGCTCATCTTGTCTGGACGCCCCTTTAGATTAAAGCAGCAGAATTTGTAAAAAATAACTATTTAATTTTGTAGATATTCTTGCAGTATAAGTAGCGAAATACCCATAGGACTTCTTTGAAGAGATAAATCCGCTACAGAGATAAAGATATTTTTTATTTAATATTGCCAAAATTTTTAATGATTAACAGCGCTTTCAGATGGAGCGGACCGTCCGCGACTTCGAGCAAGTACCTACCATGAGTTTATATGAACAATTTCACATGGGATGGCTTCGTCCGGTTAGTAATATAATATAATCTTATGGTACTTGCTTGAAGTCGCGGACGGTCCGCGCTTACGGTCCGCTACATCTGAAAGCGCTGTAATTCGTTTGTTAATATACGATTTTTTATAAAGGTTTGCCGGGAAATGTTTTGTAAGTAAATACAGATGCTTATTTTTCAGTGTTTTTTTTTTAGTTTATATCGCAATCGAATGTCAAATTTATTAGTATTCGGAGGTGTCTTTAAACACATCATTATACTTTAAGAAGAGTGTGTTATGTCATAAATTCATTTTTTCTAAACCGCTTAAAGTGACACTAGCCTAATTTATATATTTTTAAATCTTACCTTGTACAATCCTGGAAATGCAAAGTATCCAAAAAATTTAAGAGACATCTTTATACCAGTGAAATTGGTTATTTTTAAACCCATTTTATAGAAAATATTTTCTGGTTGTGCCAATGAATCCACTTTGATTCCAAAAGCAGTTGTAGCTATAACATCATTAGTAAATCTAAAATTATTTTTGTTTTAATTTTTGCTGGAAAAACATTATGTGAAGTTTTAATACTACTGCAATTCGATAAAAGATTATTAAATATAGTAATACAAATTAATAAAGAATTATTAAATATAGTAATTCTTTGGCTTAACATGGTGTTAAAATATCCAATTTTCCAGGACGTTTCAAGAGTTTTTACTGAATAATGGGAAATATTGATTGCATCTTCGTGTAAAGCATACATCGGGTGGTGCATCGTCGCATCTTCGCAAAGCACAAAAAATTTACAAATAATAAAAAATTATTATCTCGTACAATTCCAAAAAATTACGTCAATTACGTAAACAGGTAACAATGCTAAACCAGGCAAATGCCAACATACCTTAATTTGTCAACTTATGATTTTCGAAATGTCAAATTGTATTTCATAAACGTTAGGCCTTTGGCTGTTTTTTACAGGTTTTAAATTACAACAATGCATTTCGGGCACACTAACTGTAGGTAATATAACGTAGTAGCGAAAAGAGCAGATCAAATTGACAAAATCATAGGTTGAGGACTTAAGATAGGTTGACATGTGTCTGGTTTTGCATTGTTACCTGTTCAGATTTAATTTAAAAATAGATGCATTTTTTCTTAAATTAGTTAAAAAGGGCTTATTCAAAATTGTTCAAATTGGCATGTGTATTCATCATACGCAGGTCTTTAAAAAACCTATTTGCAATTTTGCTGTAAAATTAATAGGGGAGTCAATATATGGACAGTTCAAAATTTGCATGGGATTTCCTATGTTTCCAACGCCGATGCACCACCCGGTATATAAAAAATGACAAGGTCAGTCAAAGTAGTCAGTGACTTCACTAATTTAAAATATACCTCGCATAACATTCTTTCATTTCTAATTCGATTAGATCTTCTTTTTTGTCCAAAAAGAACTGGACAAACTTATCAGCAGCTTCATTCATTAAAACAAACATACTCTTCATTTTAGAGCTAGTAAACGAACCGCTCAGGGTTGCTCTCATTTCACGCCATTTTTGTCCTAAAAAGAATTTATAAATACAGTCTTTATATTGAGTTATTCTTGATTTAAATTCATAGTGTATAAACACGATGATAAGCGGAACAGCATCTCGTTTTGACTCTAATGTTGCTAAAAAACCCAAATATTTCAAGCGACTGTATAATATTCTGTTAAAAACGGTTTATTAACATTATACCGTGACATTACAATTATACGAGAGATGCATTTTAGTTATAACTACATACATATATACAGAGGGGCGCACCTCATTCGCCTCGGTTGATTATACGAAAACGGAAAGATGTAGAAACAAAATATTTTATGGGTATATGTAGGGAGGTAATGTAGACAATTTAAATATATTTTGAAATGTACAGGGTGTTTCAGAACTAAGATCCATACCAAAGTTATATTTTTTCTTATGGAACACCCAGTATTTTAATTCATTTTTGGATTCTTGGGCCCTAAAAAAAGGTATTTATTATAAGGCTTAAATATGTTTAAAATCTTTGGTCTTTGAGATATTTAAAGATATTTAAATTTGCATGCCACAATAGAATAGATTATTAACACCCTGTACATTACTTTGCAGAATTAATTCTTGTGCTGAGTTTAAAGGTACAGAAATAACTTTACAGAAAAATGTTATTCCTCCCTTAAATGTATACAGGGGTATCAAAAATTGCTGGTCCATTTTAAATATTTATTTTACATAAAACTTCGTTATTTCAAATGCAACACTACGTATTTTTTTAAATAAGTCGAAGCAGATTTAAATGTTCTTTCAAACTATATTAGGGTTTCCTATCTGGCTCAGATTTTGGATAAAAAGCGATTTTTCAACAAAATTGTAATCAAGATGGCTACTGTTGTCATGGCAAGGTTCTAGTGACAGTTAGATTTAATTTACCTACAATAGTTTAATAAATAATATTTATTAATTGTGTACTTATTATTCTATCAAGAAAAACGAATAAGTAGTTCTTTGAATTATTTTACGATTACTTGTAGATATATGGATTTTCTATAAAAGAGCCAATTACGGCAACTTCATTTTCTTCACTTCCAACAACATGTTCCTGCCTAATAGGTTTTTTTTTGTAAAACCACTACCACCTCTGCGAAATAGGACATGAAGTTTTTCAAAGAAACGAAGTTTTTATATAAAATATATCCTTAAACTAGATCAGCAACTTTTGATAGCCCTGTATAAATTCAAGGAACCAATACCATTTTTCTGTAAAGTTTATTTATTTCTCTACCTTTAAACTGAGCATAAGGATTAATTCTGAAAAGTAATGTACAGGGTGTTAATAGTCTATTCTATTGTAGCATGTAAATTTAAATATTTTTAAATATCTGAAAAACTAAAGATTTTAAACATATTTAACCTTTGTATTTAACCCTTATAATAAATGCCTTTTTTTGGGCCCAAGAATCCAAAAATGAAACAAAATACCGGGTGTTTCATAAGAAAAAATATAACTTTGGTATGGATCTTAGTTCTGAAACATCCTGTACATTTCAAAATAATTTTAAATTGTGCACATTCCCTCCCCACATATACCCATAAAATATTTTGTTTCTACATCTTTCCGTTTTCGTATAATCAACCGAGGCGAATGAGGTGCGTCACCCTGTATATAATCTATATACAGTATGTCCCCGGATTGTGTTTACAAGAGGAACAACTTTTTTATTATTGACATTTTGAGAAAAATGCATTCTTTATAAAAAAAGTTGTCCTGAAATGGTTAATACCGTTTATACTTTAAATTTTCATACCGTTTTAGAGAAAATTAAAAGAAAACATGAAGGTCTGGTTGAATTTTTTTTTGTAAGTCTTAAAAATCAAAACGCGCTTCTGTAATATAATTTCGTTTTTTGATAGACTGCTATTGATATAATTTTATTTAATGTCATATTTGTTGCTGTTTTAAAATTTTAAAGAAGCACGACATTTATTTAGTTCAATGTTACGGAAAGGGTAATAAATGTATAAGGAAATGTGATACTCTAACAATAGCAAAAATATGACGTTAACGAAAATAGGATCCATCATAGTAAGAGTTTATTTTTAAGAATAATATGTAATTGAAAATATCAACTAACTAAAAACCCCTTAACCCCTTACTGATTTAATATTCTTCTACAGGTACAGTACCTTTCAAAGAAAGTAAGTTGCCACTCCATAGTCTATCAGCTTCCGGATCTACCATTGTTCTATGATCGGTAAAATACTCAAAATCCTTCACAGTAATTTGTTTAATTAATTCTGGATCTCGAACCATCAATATTGGTGTGAGAAATTGATAAAATCCAGTATATCTTGAATACACATATATAAATATAAAATTGTATTACAAATATAACGTTTAATAATGTTTTGATATGTAATAACTAATTAATTGGCTACTGTACCTTTCGTTTGGGTGTAAGTTATAGATTGTATGAACAAAATCGGCAAAACTCATTCTTCTAAATACTGTTGTCCAAGAATCTCCGAAAAATATCCATGGTCTCGTTTGTTTCACTCCTATTTCTGACCAATATTTAAGTGGTTTAATAAAAATACGCCAAAGCAATCCAGCTAAAATAGCTGCTACTACCAACCAAATCATTTTTTACCCTTAGACGAAAAATCAGCTAAAAATCGAGTACAAACATTAATCGTATGTAGCAGACTATATAAATTTTTGTTTATTCAAACTTACGTTTTGCAGTAGTGTACAAATAGTATCTATAAATATTTACTTTGGTGAAATTTATCTCATTTATAAACATTTTTATCTTTAGATTTTTTAAATTCGAATTGACAACGATAATTGCGACAAAACAAAATAATTCCTAAATTGGATTCAAAACATCGACGATCCCTAATAAGTTTTGTTTGTGAAAAGAATAATCTCAACTCAGCTATAGCGTTGATATCTCTAATAGATTTTTATTTGTTGAAGATTAATTATATTTATGTGCATTACTATTAGTAATGGAGCCCAAGATGCTAAATGGGGATTTAGTTTATCGTCGTGGGGATCAATTGTATTGTGAAAATTAGTTGCTGAAAAGAATAAAAAGGATATAGGGTAAACCACCCAGTTATTAGCACTTTAAGGACATACGATTATATTTTATCTAACGAAACATGTAAGAAAAATTTTCTTTGTCCGGTTATTTATATCGACGATCTACTCTACTTAATTTTAATGAAAAAATATTTAGTTTTGTCTATTTTAAATCCGAAATATTTTTTTAATTATTTTTGCAAAATTATAATTTTGCTAGTTATTGGCACACCTACCTAGTAAAATTGGCGTTGCTATTTTGCTAGTAATTGGCACTTGGTTTTTCTAGTTTTGACAAATAATATTAGATAACTTTATATTTTAGAGATCTTTCTTGGCATACATATAATAAGCATATTTATTAAAAATATACCTATAGATATTTATTAATGATAAAAAAATTATCACGGTAAATAACATGATAGAACATAGATATGACAGGGGAATACACAAAACATATTTTTTAAACAGTTTTAAACTCGGTTTCAAATAAGTAACATGGTACACTCTAATACAATTCAAATATTGTATACTAGTTTTTTATTTATTAATTTTATTTGCACATTGTCAAGAATTGACAAGAAAATTGCCAATAAATAGTATTATAGTGTTGCAATATGTTTTTTTATGTAGTTAAAAATCAATAGTAATAACTTATAGTAGTTAAGTTACTATTAAGTTATTTTATATGGTTTTGATATTTTTGAGTTTGATTTAAATAAAAAAGGCCTAATGACTGGTCATTTTATGTTTCGTTAAGTGCTATTTATTGGCACGAGTGCCAATCATTAGATGTAGAACAATTTCCTAAGCCATATATTAGCATCATCAAAATTAACAAAAATTCGCAAGTAAATTGTAAAGTTCCTAAGAGAACATTAAAATTAGAGCATATATTTTACCTAATAAGTATACATAGTTAAGTTATAATGTATAATATTACCTTTGAGACTTGATTAAATATTTCATATTTCTTAAAAATTAGCTATATTTTGCTCTTCTTTCAAAACATCATAGTTTTTTCTAACTTACTAAGAAGTTCGAATTATTTCCAATTATCATAAGTTTTAAAAATATAATATTCTGAAGATCATTCGCATAATGACTGACTGCCAATAACTATAACAATTTTTAGGGGTGCAAGGGGTATTGAAGCGATACATATAGCCTAGCTTACCCAAAAGTCAACCTCACCTTCACGTGGTGCACCCTGTTTACACAAACGAGGCTCTGACGTCCGAGTATAGGCGGTATAACCTTATACAACCCTCAGACCTACCATCTTCTGAGGAAAAGGAGTAATAAAATACACCTAGCCGGCCGAGAACGTAGCACAAGGGAACTATCGTCGCAGTCCTCACTGTGCCATAGCCATCCCGTGCTACAGTTGCAGCCAAAACTGTGCGGCAGCGTAACCGCCACAGTTAAACCTTTTCACGCAGCTTACACACAGCAATGATGGAACATTCGAGTGGGACAAAATTATCGTCCGGAGGTAAAATACCCCCTCAATCGGATCTCCGGGAGGGGTGCCTACTCGAGCGTATCATCGGAGAAACAAAAAACATCAATGTTTCACGTTCGCGGCGTGGAACGTCCGCACTCTACTGGACAAGATAAATTCAAATCGACCAGAGAGAAGAACAGCACTGGTCTCACAGGAACTCCACCGATTAAATATAGATGTTGCCGCTCTGAGCGAAACACGCTTTGCAGATGAAGGTAGTCTCACTGAGGAGCATTACACCTTCTTTTGGAAAGGTCATCCCGCAACACACAGGAGAATTCATGGTGTAGGCATTGCGATCAAAAACGAAATCGCCACCAAGTTAACAGAAGTACCTATTGGTGTCTCCGAACGTCTTATGACCCTAAGGTACCCCATATCAGACAAAACTTACGTCAACAACATTAGTGCCTACGCTCCCACCCTTGACGCTAAAATTGAAGATAAGGATAAATTTTACCAAGCATTACAAAATGCCTTTCAACGAATTCCAAAGCACGAACGAATCATCTTGCTAGGTGACTTTAATGCCCGTGTAGGCAAACAACAGGAAATATGGCCTGACGTATTGGGAAAACAATGGAAAACGCAAATAGCAATGGTGAACGCTTATTAACAACATGCGCAGAGTATAATCTTTGCATCACCAATACGTGGTTCATGTTGATGAACAAGTTTAAAGATACCTGGAAACATCCTAGATCAGGCCACTGGCATCAATTGGACCACATAATCGTTCGAAGGATGCATCTAAAAGATGTTAGGCTCACAAAAGCTAGAATAGATGCCGAATGCGGCACTGACCACCGACTTTTAATTTCAAAAATGAAAATCCAGTTAAAACCCAAACATCCACGCTGTAAAAAGCAAAACAACATGACCAGATTGAACGTACGGGATCTAGAGAACAAGAATACCGCCGACGCCCTCCGGGAAGCCATCAAAGAATCACTTCCACCGATAACTTCAATCTCAATATTGGAAGCTGAACAAGACTGGACACAATTAAGGGATGCGATTCATAAAACCAGCGAAGCAGTACTGGGAAAGTCGAACAAAAAGAAACAACCAGACTGGTTTGACGAAAATCAACAGCATATACAGGCTTTTTTGGAACAAAAGCATAGAGCACATCAAGCCGTCACTGCAAATCCACTTAATCCAAGACTGGTAGATAACTTTAAAGCAGCCAACAACACCCTTCGAAGAGAACTGCGCCAAGTAAAGGATAACTGGTGGTCACAAAAAGCGAATCAGATTCAAGAGTACGCCACTCATCACGATTATCGTAAATTCTTCGAGGCTGTAAAAGAAGTATACGGTCCAACTAAGAAGGTAAGCTGCCCAATCATGGCTCAAAATGGCGAACTTCTAAAAGAGGAAGAACAAATCAGAAATCACTGGAAAGAACATTACAGCCATATCCTTAACCAAGAAAACAACCCCAATATGGAAGCACTAAACACAATACCTCAGTATAACAGCCTCGATGTATTAGACATCCCAATAACAGAACAAGAAATAAAGACCTCCATAAAACAGCAACAAATCAGCTGGCTGTGACGCGATTCCGGCGGAAATCTATAAGTGTGCAAGTAAAGAAATTATGGATCATCTTAAGGCTCTCTTTGATGTCGTATGGGAAAGCGGAGAGGTACCTCACGATTTTCGCAACGCGAATATAGTGAATATATTTAAGAACAAAGGAAGTGCATCAGACTGCGGAAATTACCGGGGAATTTCGCTATTGGCTATCGGCGGAAAAATTCTTGCAAAAATAATGTCAAACCGCCTGCACCCATATATAGAAAAAATCCTTCCAGAATCGCAAAGGGGTTTTCGTACCAACCGCGGCACCGTCGATTCCATATTTTCCATCCGTCAACTACAGGAAAAAGTAAAAGAGCAGGAGTCTAAACTTTATGTTGCATTCATCGATCTAACAAAAGCCTTCGACTCTGTGAACAGAGATGCGCTTTGGGCAATTATGGAAAAGTTCGGAGTACCCAACAAATTTCTTACAGTGTGTAAAAGCCTCCAAAACAACAAGTCAAGAGTGTCACATCATGGATCACTGAGAGACCCATTCCTAACAAATACAGGAGTTAGGCAGGGATGTGTCTTAGCGCCTCTCCTATTCAACATATTCATGGCAGCGCTCTCCATTATAGTGGACAGCAAACTGCAGGAGAGAGGATTGGGCATTAGATACTGATATGACGGCGGTCTGTTCAACATAAAAAGACTCAGGGCAAAAACACGTACAAAATTTATCACAGAACTTCAATACGCTGACGACTGCGCTCTAGTTGCAAACACGGTACAACAATTACAAGAAATGTTGAACACATATACCTGGGCATACGAGGCTTTGGGCCTTAAGCTGAACATCGGCAAAACTAAAATCATGTGCACTCCCCCGGAAGATCACAACAATGCTATAAAAATCGGAGAAGAACTATTCGAATATGTGGCGGAATTCAATTACCTTGGCAGTTTGATTTCGGAAAAGGCCAATATTGACTCTGAAATTCAGCACAGGATTAGTAGCGCCTCAAGAGCATTCTGGAAATTAAAAGACAGGGTTTTCTACAATCATGACTTGAGTACAAAAACAAAACTTGCAGTATACCGAGCAATTATAATCCCCACCATGATATATGGGAGCGAAACCTGGGTGCCTTACCGCCGACACATGAACGCATTGAACAAGTTGCAACAGAGACACCTTAGACAACTCTTAAGAGTCCGGTGGTTCCATCATGTCTCAAACGTATCGGTCCTTGAAAAATCTAACTGCGAGAGTATTGAAGTCATGGTCACAAAATCCCGCTTAAGATGGGCTGGTCACGTATGCAGAATGCAAGAAAACCGCATACCAAAATCTCTGCTTTACGGTGAGCTTGTGGACGGTAAGAGGAGGCCGGGTGGACAACTGAAAAGATACAAGGACATTTTCCACGAAAATTTAAAGGGAATTAACATGCAGAATGAGTGGGAAAAAGCAGCTCACAATAGAACTCAATGGAGAAGGGTTGTAAACTCAGTTAACAGCGGCAACCAAAAGTAGAGAGGCAACAAAGCAATGAGATTTTTGAATGTCCGGAGTGCGGTAGGCAGATAACATCACGTATCGGGCTTTTCAGTCACAGAAAAGCTCATGAAAGAAAACGCCTTGCGTGACCATTTTCTTTATGTGTGTCGAATACTCGTCAGCGAGTAACGGCTGTATATGTATATGTATAACAATTTTTAG